TTGTCATTGTATGATCTAAAGCCTCATTTGGAGCATTTAAACAGGCTTTAAAAAAACTTTGATAATTTGCTGTAATATTATAAATTTTTTTGAATAAAAAGCTAGCAGATGTGCATAATCACGAAATAATATAAATACAATTATGGAGCATTCAGTATTATAAGAAAGCCAACACTGTTTCTGAATAAATACATTATTGTATGAGTTAAGTTCTGTTCCGTTTATGCCTCTTCCCTTGCAAGTGTGAAATGCCCCATGCTCCTGAATGCACCATAGCTATGTGATGCTCGTGAATGCATCACACTGGTCTGTGAACGCTGTGCTGTGTAGATTTGTGTTTGATTTTCCACTTAAAACAAAGCTTTGCAGTTTCCAAAAACACGTCGGCTATCACTGTTTATTGTTGTGTGTGAATATCAAACTACAACAAATAAATCAGCCGTACCTCGGAAAAAATATTTGGATTGAATGTTGTTAATAACACCTGTGCTTTTATAAACAAATCTGCCAAATAACCACAAATCTCCTCCCACAAGAGGAATATTTAAACGTTTTTATATCATTCATATAACAACAAGCAGCACCGTTGGTCATATTTAAATCCCTTTTCCTCGTCGATAGTCGCAGTTGTACAGAGCGAGGCATGCTCCCGCCACTGGGGGATGCATATCTCGGCAGGCATGCACCTTCGGCATAACACCGGATACAGTCACAATGTTTATTTCTCACCGTTGCAAGTTTCTGCACTTCTTCATCAGAAGCTCCAAGAGATGCCAATCCGAGTTCTTGAGAGAACTGGGCAAAGCTGGGTTCGGCTAGCAGAGGAACATGGCCTAACACCTCATGGCACGTGTCCCTGGATGAAACACAGACAGGCAAGCTTTCACACACAAACAAGGAGGAATCTAGAACCATAACAGATGAGGTGGGAATCAGAAACTAGTGTTGCACCAATGCCATTTTTTTGGCACCCAACACCGATACCTGGCTGTGCAGTATTGGCCGATAACGATAGCATAATGATACCATCTGTTTGAAATCGATGTGTGTCTATATATGAAGAACTGCATACTACTTAGATGTAAAATAATTGCCATCATGGCTTTGTCAAGCTGCTGCCTACCTTTGTGAAGCAGGAAAAAGACTAATAAAAAGTGAATCCAGTAGAACATTTTATTGCCTACCTGGAATGGGTGACAATAGTTGAATAAACTTTTGGCTCTCAAAATGGTATCGGTTCTCTATTTGTTGGTACTCGCCGATACAGATACCACCATTTTAGTGCTGGATCGGGGCCCTGCCCGGCCCTGGTATCGGTGCAACACTATCAGAAACTCATTACTCGGAGGACCACTCACGGTTCAGGTGTGTACAAAGGCTCTGAGGCGTGACGGACATACTGAGTGCAGTGGAACACCCTGAAGGCAAGACCTGCCAGGAAGTCTCTGGGGGAGAGGTACCCTGCTACGGGCCGAATGCTGAAACCGGAGCGCTCTGTTTACAAGATACACAGACAAAAACAGAGAGTGACCGATATCAAAAGGCAAGCAAGGGAAGAATAGGCATGAAAGTTTTCAAACATACCTACAAATGATAAGATGAGCATTAGACTTTAACGATCACTGGGAATGCTGCGTGAAGATAACTCCACTATGTTTCACTGTTATTTTAAAACACACTTTTTTTTCCCTGTACATGTTGGATAAAGGACCAGTTTCTTCTTTCAAGGTTCTTTGTTTTAAAGTTATAACAGAGCTTGAACAGAACCAGTTCCTCTGCGAAAAACGTGCAATCTTAGCTCCAGCATCTTTGAAGACCACACCAAAGAGCCGCCTTGTTTTATGACTTAAAGTCGTAGGGAAGCAGCTGTTTCAAGCGTGCCCGACTTTACACGAATGAATAGAGTGAATGTGATTGGTCGTTTATCAAGGTGGTGGGATTGCTGTGGCGGATGGTTCATAAGCAAGTTTGGTTTTGTCCGGCAAACATCTTGCTAACCAGTTAGCAACTTAGTGCTAGTAGGTTCCCAATAAAAAATTCCATTGGGACCAAGTAACACTAAATTGGTGACTTTGAAACTACACTGTCAAGGAACGATATGGTAAGAGGACATTCAAAAGTTTTCTATCTAAGGAAAACCAGTCAGCCTCAGCAGATGGCCGCTCACACTGAGCCTGGTTCTGCTGAGGTTTCTTCCTGTTAAAAGGGAGTTTTTCCTCTCCACTGTCGCTACAAGCATGCTTAGTGTGAGGGATTGCCTTCGAGTCAATGAGTCAATGCAATCAACTGGTTTTCCTTAAATAGAAAACTTTGAATCAATTACATTTGATGATCTGGTGAATTCTAAAGTGCCTTGAGATGACGTGTTGTGAATTGGCGCTATAGAAATAAACTGAATTGAATTGATTCATTAAGCTTTCAGTTGTAGTTAAAGTTATCATAACAGAGAAACACGCTTACTTGAGTGAAGAATAAGTGAGTTAATACCTTAGCTACTTTTGTAACTTGTAACTATGTCTAGTTACGGTGGGGATTCATTAAGGAGGGTGTTATGTTAAAAAATTTTCAAATAAGTATTTAAAGTAATTATTTTCCAGGAGAGCATTTGTTTTTTTTAAACTGCCTCATCTGTTTAATTTCAAGGGCAGAGATACTGTCTGGATTTTTCTCGTTTGAGGAGTACAGGAAAACAGTTCAACACACCCTGCTTAGTGTGTTTTAAAGTAACATTGGAAAACAGCCCAATCAGTTACATGGAGTCGGGTCCAAGTGACTCTTCTGATGAGTTTTTCTGGAATGTTTTATTCATGGAACTGTTAGACTACTTTTGCTGTCATTTTGTGTACACAGATTTTATACAAAACAAAATTTCGATTCGTACAGCTTTTCAGACAGTGAACTAATATTTCCATTCCATAAAGTGCAGCAGTGATCAAATGTAAACAGTGTTTTGAGTGTATGTATAAATAAAATATATTTATAGTCTGTGTGCAAATCATTTTTGTAGCCCTTGTACAGGTTTATAAGACTCACCCATGAGGAACCGTGACACATCCTCCAACTGAGGGATGTTGTTTTCACTGTATTTACAGTATTTGTTGAGCAGAGGAAGATTCTTCAGATACTCCTTGCAGGCATGGCTTGGATACAGCTTATTAAGCTCCCTAAACACCACACCCCAGGTACGCACCTCCTCTGCGGTGTAGTCTATGCGAGGAATCTGATCGCCGCTGTGACATATAACCAGCATAATCAGTAGTGCAAAAAGGAAGAATAGCAGATTAGAAATTACACAGGAACACTAAAGCATCCTCAGCATTTTGATATTTCCCATTAAGGTAGTTTTTCATTGGTTTAAAAGGTGATATCTACAAGTTAGTGATAAACATTGATGTAATGTGTGGGAGTGGTGTAATCTCTGGGGTGAATGGGCTCCAATTTTTAGACCCTTATATTCTCTGTGCACGCTCTGGTCACTGTTATACCATTAGATTTAAAAAAAACACAGTTCTGTGTGGTTTTCTGCATATGAACACAGAACTGAAACATGTCGTCCTCCAGTCTCAACACACGTACGTAGCCTCTGAACACCTAATGTTGCATACATTAAAAAAAATAAATAAATAGAACTGCTACAAACTGTCAAAGCAGGGAAGTTGAACTACCGTTGATGCCAGTACTTCTATTCTGCCAAACTCTAGACATTTTTGGGATGTAATATTTTAAAAATGTATTGTTTTTTGTCTTGTTTTTTAATAAATGTTGTAGTTATGATCTATAATTCACTATACAACATCAATATCAGAGTTCAGAAATTCACTCTTAAGAATAATAATCATTGTCTTCCTTTTATCTTCTGTTTATTTCACCTTTTCCCCTTTTTCATGTTTTTCCTTTCCTGTTCTACTTACATTGCAGTGTCAATTTAATCTGTAATACTCCCTGCATGAATCATAATAAAGCTATTTATATGCATAGTCCAATTGGAACACTATGGCGATAGCTGTACTGCTCCACTTGTGAAAGTAAAATCTGTTTGGCTCTTTTTTGGCATCAAGACAATTATTCTTATTGCCACATTGCCAGACAGGACACTGTTAAAAAAGAAAAGTAACAGATTCAAGCATATTCGAAAATAAATGAGCACTCACTGTTTGAAGCTCAGGGCCAAATCAGCAAAATACTTTCTTCTTTTACGGTATATTTGGTCCTTAAATCCCTGTAAGAACAATAAAGGGAATTTTATTTTATAGAAAAAAAGGTTGATTAACAGCAATTTAACTGTGTTCATCTGTTGGACAAGAAAACTGAAATTTGATAAAAGCAAAAAAAAAAAAAAAAGGTACACCTACCGGATGATCTGCATCTAACTCCGAGCCATACATTAAAACCCTATTGGCGCACAGATCCAAGTCAGAAATCTTTTTAGGAAACCAGGGAACACAATCCAGGCCTGAAAAAAAAACATTGAAGCTGCAGTAGTGCATGTGAACAGAGCAGAGCGTTGAGCGGTGGAGAAGAGTGGAAGAATTATGGCGGAGTGCAGACAGGTTTTCAATTTAAAGGCCGAAGCAAGGATTTGGTAACCTGACTCCGCCAGATGGATTTTCTCCGCATATCCATCTGGAAACCTTCCGTTGAAGTAATTTTGGTAAAGGGGCGAAAAT